GGGTTGGGACTGCTGTGATTTCCACAACCTGAAACTGAAAGGTGTGACAGTTGCCTGAGGAGAGCCTGGAAAAGCTCATGGAACCTCCCTCCTCTTCCACAGGGATTGTGTGGAATGCAAGAAGTTTGAGCGGGGAAAGCTAGTGGAGCAGCAGTCCTGCAGCCGCATGTGCCGTGACGACATTGAGACGGTGCATGAACTGAGTAAGAGGAGACCCAACCCCTGTCCTAATATGTGGAAATCCAGGGGGCTGCATATGCCACATGCTTTCCCTCTGTGTATGCACCCCTCAGCATGGGGACTCTGAGCCTCTCCCTCTGGCAGGTGACAGGGGCAAGGATGCTGTGAACTGCACCTATAAGGATGAGAATGACTGTGTGATGAGGTTCCAGTACTACGAGGACTCCAGTGGCAAGTCCATCCTCTATGTCATCGAGGAGCCTGGTAAGACCCAGCTGCCATGCTTAGGCTGGGGACTGCAGAATGTGCTGTGCTGGGTTTCTGTGCTGACAGGGGCGGGGGGGAATGTTGAGTTCCCTTTGTACCTCCCACTCCAGCCAGGCTCATGGGGCACCATGGCTGGGGGCTGAGAGGGATTAAAGAACTTCTTTGTCCCCTGCTCAGTGCCAGTGGGCCATGATTTCCTGCCTCTCAGGTATCACATTTCCTAAGTTATTTCATCCCCTCATTGAGACCAAGGATGGGGGCTCAACCTTCCCACCGCCCTCATCCTGTGTTTGACTTTGTGGGGGTGATTTTTCTTGGGAAGCAGATAAGAGGAGGCTCCCACCAGCAGCCCCGGGGTCTCCACTGACCTCAGCTGAGCCTGGGGCTGTGTGGCTGCAGATCCTTCAGAAGCAGGCCCATGAAGGCAGCCAACAGCTCTCACAGCAGCTGTCTGCTATGGGCAGGGTACAGCCCACACTTCCCAGCCCCACAGCCAGATGGGAGAGGAGAGGCAGGGCAAAGACTGGGGTGGCCACATGGCCCGGGGCACTGTGCAGGGGGAGCAGGAGCTGCGGAGGCTCACACTGGATCTCTCTGCCCCCATTTGCCAATTCAGTGTTGACACACAGCCAGATGCTGGGGGGGTGTCAGTGGGCTGGTGGTTTTGGGCAAACTTCACAAGCACAAGGACTTGGTCTCTGGTGTCATCCCCCACTGCAGGTGGGACCTGTGATGCCCCTGGTCTAGCTCCAGGCTTGGGTGTAGACCCCCACCCTACAGACAGGTGCTCAAGTACTTTGGCACAGGTGCCCCATGGATGGGATCCTCCTTCACAGAGCCTGCTGTGCTCAGGGTAGAGGCTCCTGCTTGCTGGCAGAGGAGGATGATGCCCTCCTGAGACTAAAGGAGCTCCATGTACACATGGCTAGGTAGCCCCAGAGCTGCCTGAAGTTGCCCTGGGTCTGCTGAGCTCCCCGCAACCCTGCCTTCCTCTCTGCTCCAGACTGTCCAAAGGGGCCAGACGTCCTGGTGGTCCTGCTCTCAGTGACAGGTGCCATCCTGCTCATCGGCCTTGCTGCTCTGCTCATATGGAAGCTCCTCATCACCATCCACGACCGCCGTGAGTTCGCCCATTTCGAGGAGGAGAAGGCCAGGGCCAAGTGGGACACGGTGAGGAGCAGTGGATTGGGTATGCTGGGCAGGAGTCCCAAAACCCCACAGCCTCTGCCTTGAGGGATCCAGATCCCAGTGTTCCTGGCATGAGAGCCCAGCTGCTGTCTGTTGTCCCCGTGACATGGTCCTTAAGGGCCAGCTTGTCCCATTCCTCTCTAAAGCCTGGGATAGTGTCCCAGGCAGGACTCAAGGTGACACTGCCAGCCAGAATACCCCTTCCCTGAGCCTGCTGTGGTCCCAGGGGCTGTGCACACGTGATAGGAGATGTCCTAGGTTATTTTCCCCCCTCCAGCATATCCAAAGCACTTGTCAGCAGCATGACCCCCTTACTCACTGCTCACAGCAGTGTTTCCATCCCATGAGTGAGGCAGAAGGTCCCTCCTGCCACAGGATGCTGGAAAGCACTGAGGAACCCTGAGCACAAGGGAGGGGGCTGGGACAGCACTGATACCTGTCCCCCACCTATCCTCCATCTCCTAACCCCCTACAAAGTGAAGGGATGGTGTGGGATGGGATGGGATGGGATGGGTTGGGATGGGATGGGATGGGATGGGATGGGATGGGATGGGATGGGATGGGATGGGATGGGATGGGATGGGAGGCTCTTTCAAAAGGTCTCTCTCCTCCTGAGCTCCTGCTGCTTCTCCTTTCCTCCACAGCAGCTTTTCCCTATTCTGCCCCATGAAACCTTATGGGGAGCCATTAAACTGCTCATCCAAAGCCTTGGGTGGAGATAGGGATCCACTACTCCATGCTGTGACAGATGTTAAGCAGATGTTACCCCAGATGTTAAGCAGAACATTACCCCAGATGTTAAGCAGAACAAATGCTGATGCCAAGCACAAAGTGATGATGCTCTTTTTCATCTTCTTTCTTCCCCCAGACCCATAACCCTTTATATAAAGAGGCCACATCTACCTTCACCAATATTACATACCGTGGGAACATGTAAGGATGCCACATCCAGCACTGGCCATGGGATCAGCTGATGATCCATGGGATCTCCTGGAACCCAGTTTACAGAAGAGCTTGTTTGTGTCTGCCTGTGTGAATGACTGCATGTGATTTAACAAGTCCCTGACTGCCTCCAACCCCTATTGTCTGTCACCCCACTGTAACTGCAGGGATGTGCTTTCCATGGCAAACCTCGGTCCTTACCTCAGCAGGTCGCTCGCAAAGCCACCAGCCCCCCCATACACTGAACACAGAGAAATGGGATGATCTCTGTCAGTCTGTGAACTCTTTGGTGCTCATCAGGCCACAGACATTTCAGGAGCAACTGCTTGAACCACATGCTGAGCTGTGCTCTCCTCCACAGTGTGTGCTGGTGAAGTTCTGCCCGCTTGGAGTCCCCTTCTGCACTGGTCTCGGTCCCTCTGGGCACAGGGACCTTCTCCTTTGGGACAAGGCAGCTGCCAGCAGGCAGGAGCCATCTCTGGCTTTGGGGATTCAGGACACTGTTCGAGCAGCCCAGCAGCTCCTTTCTTCTTGCAACCATATGTCACTGGTGCTGCTGTGACCCAGGGTGGTAAATAGCTGTGCTCCGCATAGCAGTGCCCTCCCTCCAATGCATTCACTGCCAATTCTGTGTAGCATCAGCTGTGCTGGTACCAGCTGCAGCCTGGCTCAGCCCCTTGGGATGGTGCTGAGCTCCTCCTGCCTGCCTCTGCTGTCCCCATGCCACAGCACACGTGGATGTGCAAGCAGCTGCTTCAGCAGGGTCATGACACCTCTCTCCCCTTACTGTGTTTTTTGGACTGTGTAACTGCACCACCCCTGGACTTCTATGTGGCTCAGGGTTCCAGAAGAGCAGGCAGGGGTCAGGCTATGTCCTGCTGCCTGGGGCTGTGTGTTCCTGTGGAGGAAAACAAAGAACTGTCCCAGGGGCAGTGCTGGGCTGTAACAGTGCTGCTGCCTGGTCCCTGCCCTGCCAGAGCACATGTCACAATTCCCCTCAATTGCCCCAAAAAGCAACAGTGACCTTGCTCCCATTGTGGGGTTGGCCCCAGCAGTGTGTTGGCTGAGCTGGTGGTGGCCCTATGTCCCTGTTCCCTGGCTGGCCTGTCCCAGCAGTGTGGGAGCAGGGGCAGCAGTTGGTGCTGGGTGGGATCTGGGGCTGAGCCCTGGAGGGGGGCCAGGGATGGATGGGCAGCATCAGAGTTCCAGTGATTCACATGACAAAAATAAAAATAATAACAAACAAACAAAAACCAGGGAAAAAAAAAAAAAACCAAACACCACTCAGACTACTATCAGTAGTGGTCCCCAGCCTGTGCCCAGGTTTCTGCCCTGAGGGCAGCCCCTGACACCCCAACACAACTAGGGGAGCTGGTTTGAGATGAGATGGGTTGACAGATGGCAGAACCAGGGCAAACAGGGCTGTGGGACCCCCATGGGGGTCTCTGCTCTGTTACTGGTTCCCTCCTTAGGGTCAATAACAAGTTGGGGGGCACAAGGTGGGCCAAATTCCACTGCAGACTATGGTACTGGCAGCACTTCACTCCCATGCAAGAGGAGTGAACCCCAGCATGCAACATCCTGTTTGCTTGGGTCTCTGACACCCCATACATGCCCCGTGCTACCAGGTGCTCCCAACCCACACTATATTCAGGCACCTTGGGCAGTGTTCAGTGTCCCCAGCTGTGCCAGGTAGGGGCTCAGTGGGAGATTCCAGCACGCAAGTGGAATCTGGGCTTGAGTGGAGTTAGGCCCAGCTTAGTTTGGCCCCAGGCTGAGCATTTTGTCTGCCAGTGGACTCAGGCAAAGGCAAAGGCAGAGCCTGGCTGCAACATGAAGAAGCAGGATGAGCTCCCCTCAGGCTGCCTGGGGCTGCTTCCACTGGACAAACTCCAACGATTCCACATATGCTATTCAGGCAGGAGACTTCCATGGAGCTGTGGGATGAGGCAAGACCCCAGTTTATCCCAGTTCACTGCCTTTGATGCCAGGGGGCACGGCTCTTTGCAGGATCAAGCCCATGACCACAAGGAGCAGCTGTTGGGAGTCGGGAGTGACTTTTCCCCCTCAAAATCAAGGCAGTGTCGCTGTGCCGGCCGGAGTAGAGGAGAGGGAGCAGCCGGAGGTCGCTCCTTGGGCAGGGCGTGGACTTTGTGGTTGCTCTCAGCTCCCTGGGAGAAGCCATTTGGGAGCAGTAGTAGGTCCAACTGTGCGGGACGTGCCGATTCCGGGCTGCATGGAGGCTGTTGGAGCCCGGCACCACTAGATGGTGGTGTCTGTACGCGTTCGGCCCAAGCCTTCCACCTTCTGGGTTGCTGAGTGATCATCTCCCACACTGGACAGGGACATTTGCCCCACGGAGGTTTCTAGGGAGTGGGGACACCCTGAAACCCATCCCACTGACACAGCTCCTACAGCAACACTTAAGGCCAGAATTCTTTAATTCCTGGAAGCGCTGAAGTGCTCTTTCCTTGGACCCCATCAACTCCTTTTGTAAACTGTTTTCTGTTAATAAACCCCAGAAATAAGCAAAGCACTTCCAATACAGACAGGAGATGACAAAAGGTGCATTTTGTCTGACTCACAACCCAGAAAGTGGTTTTCTACGTGTCTAGGGAATTTTCTGAAATGAAACACATCTCCCAATTAATTCTAGGGAAGCAGGTCAATGTTGGAGTGCTGAAGTCCCAACACTCTCAATGGAAATCCATTTTCCAGAACAGAGTCTCCAGGAGATACTGAAGGGCATGACTGTAGATGGTGAGCATCAGCACTTCAGGATAGCTCAGGATCTGGAGCATCTGCTGGGCAGAAAACTTAAGATGTGGAGAAGAAGAGAAGAAAGAGCTGGAATTAAAAACAAAAAGCCAAAATATTGCATTTTCCTTGGCACAAAATCACAGAATAATTTAGATTGTTGTATTTTGGGCTCCCCTTCCTCAAACATATTTTCTGAGAGAATTGGGATTGTTCAGCCTGCAGAAACAAAGCTTCAGAGTGACTCATTGTGACCTTGCACTACCTGAAGAAGCTGACAGGAAAGATGGAGAGAGACTTTTTTACAAGGGCCTAGAGTCACAGGACAAGGGAGAATGGCTTCGCACTGCCAGAGGCCAGGGTTAGATGGGATATTGGGAAGAAATTCCTCCTTGTGAGGGTGGGGAGGCCCTGGCACAGGGTGCCTAGAACAGCTGTGGCTGCCCCATCCCTGGAAGGGTTCAAGGCCAGGTTGAGCAGGGCTTGAAGCAACCTGGTTGAGTGGAAGATGTCCCTGCCCATGGCAGTGGGTGGAATGAGATGGTCTTTGAGATCCCTTCCAACCCCAACCATTCTATGACCATGATATCTCCCCACTGACTAACTCCACCTTCCCCCACAGTCCTGGGGACATGGCTGACATCCACAATGTCGATTCCAGCTATCCCCTTAGCCAGCAAGGAGCTGCAGGAAGCCCAGGACACACCACAGGAGGGGACTGGCATTCGCCTGCTTGCTCTCTGCTCCTACCTGGCCTCTCCTTCAGCTACCCAGCAACAGAAACACAGGGAGGCTGCTGGGTCTCTGCAACTCTCTTTGGGTCACTCTGGCGTGGGACACACTACGCACTCAGCACAGCTTAAATTCTCTCTATTTCTGCACTCCCCTTCATCTTGGGTTGAATTTTTGCTTTGCATTATATGGCAGAGAGTCACAGTGTGAACTCGGTGTGTCTCAGCAGTGCCACCCCTCAGCAGGGTATAAGAGAAAGGGCTGTGTCTGTATGCTTGGTGAAGCATTGAAGGAAGTGATGGGTTATGAGTGGCCATGGAAAGGTAATTTAATCTTCTTTGGCCTCAGCATCCAACCCTGCTGGGAGGGAGGGAGTTTCATTGTATTATTGTGGCTACATTTCTTCAGGTCCTGAGATGGAAGGAGTGGCTGAAAGGCAAAGGAGACACTATTATTATTATTATTATTAATAACATCTTTTTGGCAAGTCTCTCTGTGCTGACTGCCAGCAGGCAGGGCAGTTTTTCAACACTTTCTTGTTACAAAGAGCACAACCATTGTGGACAATCTGGGCTTTGATCTGGTCACAGAGGAGACTCACTTGACCCCAGAGCCATGGGAGGTGTCAGGTCTGGATTCTGTGGATGGAGTCTCTCCAGCTGCCCTTTTGGTGTCACTCCCAAAGCCTGAAATCTCCCTGGAATGCTGGCAACACTCCCTGCTCCACTCAAACATTGCCTGGGCACTTCCCTAGAGCACAAGGGTGACATCCAGGATCCCAACTCCATCCTGAGCTCCACAGCCAGCAGGGCTCACCTGACCAGCCAGGAAAGCTGGAAGCCTTAGGACAGAGGAAGGTAAGGCTAGGTATCTACGGTCTTTTTCCTTGGAGGAAACCTAGAAATCTTTGGAAACCAACAGATTAGTTAAAAGCCTCCTGCATGCCTGTACTGGTGCTTGTCAGATGACAAGGAAGTGATGTTAACATGAGGCCACTGATTCCCTTAAAATATTGCAGTGGTTCCCACCCACATGGGATAAACATGGAAGCAAGTCTCTGGTGGTGAGGGACTGATGGCTCCTCCAGCAGTAAAGTCATCCTCCCCTGTCCCAGCAGGGTCTGATGCCTTATTTTTGTACCTCCAGGTGCCACAGAGGCATCATGCTATGATGGGGATTTCTGTCCCTGGATTTAGTCCAGACTCTCACTTTTTCCCTTTTTCCAGTTTGTTTCAGATGTTCCTGGCTACAAGAGCAGAGGCCAAGCTCTTCCCTTACCAGATGGAACATAGAAAGAGTCAACCTTACCTTTTCTGGCTAATGATAAACTGCAGGGAATTGTCCTCTCTGCCAGATACCTAACCAGCAGTGTGAAAAATAGGGGTGGATCCCCATGGCATAACTGGTCGAGATCTTCTCAAGGCTGCTGGGATCTGTGCTCCCTTTGAGCTCTGTGAAAGCAGGACAAGGCTCAGTCACAGCTCTAACCACTCTCCTCCTCTTCAGCCCACATCCCAGCAAATCCTGCTCTTTCAAATTGAACCCATTCCCCCTTGTCCTCTTACAACGAGGTATAGGAAAAATTACTCAGGCAGCTACAATTACCAGAGGAATCCTCCACCTCAAAGTCCTTGGGAAATGGGTGGAGTTGGCAACTCTGCCTCAGGAGAATTGTTTCAGATTATCAGGGGAGTTGCCTCTGTGGGACAGAGAGGGAAGTGCCCCTCTCTACTGGGGTATTTCTGCCTTATATAACAACATAAACAAAATACAGGGGCCCCAAGATGAGATTTCCAGAAAAGCTTTTTCTCTGGTTGCACATCCAGAAGCATCTGCATGGCTGCCATCTGCTCTGCAAAGGCACTGCTGAAGTGCCACCACAGGCATGTCACACCCCTGTGAAGTTTAAACTCCCCAGGTTCCAGGTGCCTCCAAAGCCATGGGTGCAGCAGCTGGTGCTGAGTGGGGCTGGGCTGTTTCACAAGCCAATGTCTCTCAGTTTTGTCTTCTGGTTGCCACCCACAGGAGCTCAGAGACAGCACCAGCCAGTGTGGATGGATGGAGACTCCTTCAAGTGTTGCAGAAAGATGCCCCCCAAAATTTGGAAAGTCACCCTGTGCCTCCCTTTGCACACTATGAACAAAATTACAGAATCACAGAATGGTTTGTCGGGGTCTTTAAAGCCCATCCAGTGCCACCCCTGCCATGGCAGGGACACCTTCCACTATCCCAGGCTGCTCCAAGCCCCGTCCAGCCTGGTCTTGGACACTGACAGGGATCCAGGGGCAGCCACAACTGCTCTGGGCACCCTGTGCCAGGGCCTGCCCACCCTCACAGGGAAGAATTTCTTACAATATCCCATTTAACCCTGCCCCCTGTCAGTGTGAAGCCATTCCCCCTTGTCCTGTCACTCCAGGCCCTTGTCAATAGTTGCTCTCCATCTTTTTTGGAGACTTCCCTCAGGTACCGGAAAGGGCCACATTTAAGTCACCCCAGAGCTTCTCATCTCCAGGCTGAACAATCCCAACTCTCTTAGTCTTTCCTGGTACAAGAGGTGTTCTATCCTTCTGATCATCCTGGTGGCCTCCTCAATTTCTGTCCTTCCTCCTTCATCTTCCCTCCCTCTTCCCAGAAGGCCAAATAAATAAATATCTAAAAAGGTGCCAAGAATATGGAGCTGGACTCTGCTCAGAGGTGCTGAGCAATAGAACAAGAGGAAACAGGCACAAACTGATGTCCAGGAAGTTCCACCTGAACATGCAAAAGAACTTCATCATTGCGCAGTGACCAAGCACTGGATGAGATTGTCCAGAGGTGTCAAGCTTTCATTGTTGGAGATACTCCAGAACTGTCTGGAGGCAGTCCTGGGCAATCCATTCAAATCCTTCGAATTTGAACCCATTATACCTCGTTGTAAGAGAACAAGGGGGAATGGGTTCAATTTGAAAGAGCAGGATTTGCTGGGATGTTGGGAGGAAATTCCTCCCTATGAGGTTGGGCAGGCCCTGGCACAGGGTGCCCAGAGCAGCTGTGTCTGCCCCTGGATTCCTGAAAGTGTCCAAGGCCAGGTTGGACACAACTTGGAGCACCCTGGGACAGTGGAAGGTGTCCCTGCCATCGCAGGGGTGGCACTGGGTGGTCTCTAAGGTCCCTTCCCACCCAAACCATTCTAGGATTCTGTACCATGTACTCTGGAATGACCCTACTGGAGCAGGAAGGCTGGAGCAGAGGAAGCCCTGTGGTCCCCTGCAGCCTGTCCCGTTCCGGAACTCCCTGGAATGCGAGATAAACTCCCCAGAGCCGTTTGCAGGACCCTTCCCCGTCACGTTCCGGCGGGACCGCCTCACCTGACCGCTCCTCCCACGTGACCGCCGCCCGCAGTCCTCCTTCGGGTCGGACCGCGCGGCGCTGCTTCCGCTTCCGGCGCTGGCCGGCCCGTCATGGCGGCGCCCAGCGAGGCAGGGGAGCGGCGGCCTTTCGGGAGGCGGCTCCTCACCGACCCCTCCCGGCTTTTCCAGCACAACGCCTGGTGCGTGAGGGCTGCCGCCGCTGCCCGCTCTAGACCTCCGTGAGCCGCCCAGGGTTCTGCTGCCCTGTGGTGCCGCCCCGCGCCCGGCGGTGGGGTGGGGGTGGCTGGGGCGGGCTCGCCGTCGTCTCTCCGATTTGCGGTGTCTGTGGCCAGGCGCTGTGTAATGGGCCAGTCCCAACGTGCCCGCTCCGTCTCACGGGGCCCTGACCGCGGTGACCGCCCTCTTCTCCGGGCGCGCCTCGAGAGACACCCTCAGGGCGTGGAGCAGGCTGAAGCGGCGGTGGGTGTAGGGCTGGTGGCCGGACAGCGACTGCAGGCCGGGCGGGGACCGGCATCCCCGAGCAGGGCACTGCCCTATGTGGCCGGTGCTGGTCGGGAGTGCTGGTCTCCGGGGGTCCTGAGCACTTGGAACTGCTCCCTGCGGGGTTCTGGGCCTTGGGGACTGATTCTCTGGAGGCTCCTGAACCTTTGGGATTGATTCCCAGAGTGTCCAGAATCTTCAGGACTGATCAACAGGGAGTTCTGAGCCACTCTCAACCCCTCCTGAAGCAGTAGCATTCCTCAGGCTCCTGTGGTTGTAGCAATTGTTTTATTGCTGTGGTTAATAAAGATAAATTACCTTCTGTCAGAATATCCATAACCTGACATTCCTTCAGTAAGGTTGTGCCAAGTGTGTGCTTGCAACAGGAGCTCATTATTTAGATGCAAAAGTTGTTTTAAGTCAGTTAAACATCCAGATTCTCTAGTTTGCTGGAAACTGAAGGTATTTTGCATTTTTGGGGTAAATAGATCCACTTTTGGTCTCTGGCTACTATACCATGTTAAGAATCGGGTGTGTTTAATTTGTAATTAAGTAATATTTATATGTGTCAGCCTGTCATTCTTTCTGGGACTATTCTCTACAAAGGGTATGTTACAAAAGCATATCCTTAGTTTTCCTGTGGAAATTCTTAGTAATCTGTTTTTTCACAGACTTAATATTTAAGCCTTTGTTTTGTGAGTTAAAATCAGAAGACTGATTCCTTTTGAGACAAGAACTGCTTCTTGAGCCTTGTACTCTGCTTTTCATTGACTTGTTTTAATGAAAAAAGGCCAAGTGAATCACTTTAATGACTGCATAGCTGTGTATGTGCATTGAAGTTATTAATAATTCTTAATGCTTTAAAGCTTCCCGTAATTTTCTCATCATTTGATTTCATTTAACAGTTATCTTCCAAATAAGCCAACTGCCTTTTTTGTTTTAACTTGAGAAAGACGATGTAGTTTTGTGTTGAGTGCTGTCATGGTTTTAGCAAGGATCTATTCCCTTTAAATTTGACTTGACTGAGCATCCAAAATGGGACAGATTTAGGATCCCTTCTGTTTGCAATTCCATTAGTTCCTTCAGGACTAGGACTTGTACATGCTGACTAGGCTGTTGTGCTGGTGCTGGGCTGGAATTGGGGATCACATCTGCACCCCTGTCCATTTGGCGGGCTCTCCAGACCTTTCTCTTTCCTACCATGCTTAGCTCTAGTTCATCTTATTTTTCACAACAGGGATAATGTGGAATGGTCAGAAGAGCAGGAAGCCAGTGCCAGGAGTAAAGTTCAAGAAAACAGCTCACAACTATTGCCACAAGATAAACAAGGTACTTTTGGAGTGTCCTCATGTGAGTCAGCTTTGTGCCAGGAATGGAACAGTCTGGCCAGAGCCACATCACAACATCATCAGTTCCTCTCTTCCCCCTCTCCCAGTCACTAGAAGGTATTAACACAGCTGTGATAATGGGAAATTGAGGAGGAGGATCCTTTCTGTTCTTAATTTATCTCTCTGTGACTCTTCCACCTTCACTAGAGACTCCTGCTGGGTGGGAGGAGTCAGATTGGGTTGCGCTTCTCTGTCATGATGTGTGTGTTAAATACTTGTTAGTGTTCGTTGTCAACAAACCTCTTTGAGTGTAGAGTTGTTGCCTCTGCTTATTTTTGCTCTTTAAAGCTTAACTGCTAGTAAGCAGTTTTTGCTGACTTGCTGTGGAGTGAGCCCTGATCCAAGCTGATTTTCCCTTTAAAGGGTCTGAGAAAGTAGTGTCCATATCTCTACGAAGAGATATCCATATCTCTACAAAGCAAACAAACCACATGAGAACAATTTAATCAGAGAAAGAAAAATTATTTTATCTTGATTGCTTATCCTCAGATAGACAGCAAAGGGATTCCAAAGTTTGTATTTTGTATGATTTAAAGGATATTTATCAATCCAAAATGCAGAGTTTACTTGTCTCTGAATCAAGCTAAAGGTGCTCAGGTCTTTGGTTAAGTCATGGTTGAAGTCATTCTGAGATGGTTAATAATGCATTTTCTCCACACCTGGTAGAGATCATCTAGTCCCTCAAATGTTGGTGAGGTGGTTCTTTGGTGTGATAAGAAACTTATCTGATGATGATCTTGTTATACCCTGCTGAGCTCTAGGGTGTATCTGCTCCTTTTGTGCAAATTAAATTGAGTGCATCAGCAGTAAGATGATGCTGAGCACTACTGGAACTATTGAGACACTTCCATATAGCTTCCAGTTGTGTTCACAATAGCAAATTTAATTACACCAAAGAGTAACCCTCCTCATTTCTTGGACTCCTAGAGGTATCCAGCAGTTTTCCATTGTGATGCCCATTGTGTTGAGCTCATTTTAAAATCTGGTTAGCATTAAAGGGAGCTGTCTGTCATGCTTTGAGAACCTATATGCAACTAGGAAATTGTGGAGCAATTTGCTGTTGGAACTGTTTGTCAGAGCTCCATGATGTATTTCCCAGACTGAACAATGGAGGCCAGTCAAATGTTGATGGTTGCTGTTCACTGGGAAGCGTGTGGAGACAATGGGATGTCTGGAAAGTAGGGAAAGCAGCCCAGGCAAATCTGCCTGAAGGGTCTGGTAGTTTGAGAATCAGGATGTCCAAGGAGGAGAACAAAGGTAGAATATTGGTCATTATGACTGTATTATTCTGTGGACTACTTGGAGATGTCAGGATTTGTTCTGAAGAAGGAGGGAAGCTCTGTGGCTATGTGGACGATGTGTCTCCTGGCTGGGAAAAGAAAGAGAAAGAAATCCAAGTTTCTTGGTTTCCTTTCGAGGCTCCATGATTAGCCCCCTTGCAATTCAGGAGGTCCCTGGTTCTCTTCTGGTCTTTTTGAACAGTTACTTTTGTTTGCTCTTCTTTTGCAAAGTGAAAGGGTGAGCATGGGCTTGGCTTTGGGGTATGCTCTTACAAAGGTGAGCAGGAAGTCAGGAGTCCTTATCAGGAAAGTCTCTGGAGGAATCTGGCTTACACACCAATGGCACTGTGAGCTAATACCCCAAAAATGGCCTGAAACAAGTATGATGTGAACTTTTCTGGCAGGAAGCCACAGTCATATGTTCACTCAAATCTGTTTCTTGTATGATCTTTGTCAGCTGGCCCTTAATTTTTTGTATAACATTGTTACTGATCATTTATTCAGGGCTTTGAAAACAGCAGGCTCCAAGGTAAATGAGCTTTAAATAAAGCTTCCCCACATGTAGTTTGGAGTATGACAGCTCTTCAATAGCATCCAACAGAATTTCACACTAATGCAACAAAGGAAGAGTACAATGTCTTCTTCACCAGTGTAATGTGGCAAAAATATGGGCAATCCAAAATGGCTGGAATTTTGTCCCAGTGAGTGTCTCAGGTAAGCATTCCACAGCAGTCAGGCTGTCATGGAATTGTTGGAGATGAGCAGGAATCAGGATCTGTATTTTTGTTGGGTGAAAGAGAGTTTCAGCCTCAGAAGCCTTGCATATTCCTGCTGGTACATGGGAGAAAGAAAGTTTAGGGTAGAGCGTGCAAGGGTTTGGATCGATAGCACTTCTTTCAGCATCAGCAGTCACTGACTTCTTCCATGCAAATAGTGAACTGACCTGGCCCTATTCACTGTCACCTACAGTGAGACCATGGCACAAACTTACTGCTTGTGTCTAATACCAGACATTAAAGTTTCCTTCAGCTTCATGTGTAAGAACCAGGCTTCTTAAAAGGAGAAAATCCTTGTAGTTGAGGTAAAGAGATTTTTTATATAGCTGTTTGTGCTGCAGGGATATATCCTACTAAAAATAGACATATGACTGATTAGCGCTTCTTTGTTAAAGCCATTTTTGTCTATATTTGGCTGAGGCTACATATTTTTCCAGGTGTTCTGGGTTCACTTTACCATCTCACTTTGAAACAGTTTTATGTTCTTCAGTAAGACTAATAAATAAACAGCAGTTCAGCTAATAATACCCTACAGTCATTTTTACTCAGTAATGCATTTGTTGCCATCCAAAGACGGTTGAGGAATTACTTGTTATTGGCATGCAATTGGGATTTCTGGCCATGGATGTTAATGTCTGTAGGTGATTTCAAGTACAGGATGCTATAATTAGGCATTAATTCCCAGAACAAAGAAGTCATCACATTGATGAAGTCATAGAAAGTCACTTGGATTTGTAGCTTCCTGAGGAAGAAATATTTCCCCCAGACTGTACTTGATCTGAAATCTGTGAAAGTGTGTGGAAATAAGTTTGTAGGTGACTCAAATTTCACTTGATCATGGCTTTGTAAGAGCTGTTCCAGCTCCCTGTAATACTTCTCTTGCTCCTGAAATGAACCATTTGATGTGAAAGTGCTGCTGCTCAAATTAATTCTGTTCATCTTTAGCCTGTCCACCTTAGTTCTCCACTGGTACTTTAATGCAGTGGTCACTGTTGATTCCCCTTTTTTGTTTTAGTTCATAAATGTGTGATGCTCTGACATGCACAGAACTATGGAGAGTAAAGTTATCTGGACTGGACTCCAGCAAAATATGGAAAACATGCTGTCCTGTTACCTGCAGGACTGCATA